AAAGCCCCCACCTCCAGTTGCCCCTATATGGTTCCCTTCCTGTAGTGTCCAATGCCAATGAAACTGATCACACTGAGCCTCATTCTGCACCAAGTCCAGAAACCCATAGGCTATGGGCTGAGGGACACCTGCTGGCCCATGCTTGAAACAGAGGGATCAGGGTCCCAGCTCTGAGGCAGAACCTTCACCCACCTGTCCACATGAACAGGAAAAAGTAACTGTTAGCCCATTTGCCTGTTCACCGTTCCTGTTGAAACAGTGTGAAAATCATCGCTGCATGCAATAATATCTGTAAAAAGTCAGTACTGTGAAGTAGTAGATACTCGATTTTTGCAGAATATTGAAGGACGCATATAATTCAAGTACAAAAGAACAAGACAGCAATAAGGGCAATAATGACTGATCTTGAGTTTCCATTCTCAAGAGGCTCTTAGTATTCCCTTTCTTGATGGTTTGCATTCCAGCTTTATCAGTTTCGCATGTGAGGCCATTTGCATACATTTTAGATAACATCTAATTTTACAGTTATGTTTGAATTAATGTTTAGGTGTTTTGAATTAAGCCTCTTCATGGAGTCACACTATTCAACAACAGATATTAATGGAGTTCCTACTATGTACTAGAGGACAGAGCAAGGGATATAAAACAAAAGTCTTCTACATTCATGTGATCTGTATGGAGTATATGTGGGAGTGAGGGAAGAGACTACTAAATAAATAATATCTCAATATAGTGAAACACACCAAGAAGGAAATAAAGCAGAATCACGGAACAGCATTTTGGGATGGAGAGAACTACTTCAGGAAGGCTAGTCCTCAGATGTGTTCTAGATAAAATGACATTTGAGCCAGGACCTGAAAAAATGGGGAAGCAAGTTCTGCAGACATAGCAGTAGAGGCCGAGGTGCTAGGAAGGGACCTGTGCTTAGTATTACCCACAAATACAAGAGGGCAAATGTGCCCAGAGGGAAGAGCAGGAAGGAAGGGAGCAGAAGAGATTAGGAAGACAGTAATGCAGTGATGGTGAACCTTTAGAGTCTGAATGCCAGACTGCAACTCAAAAGCCACTAATTTAACCAAAGTGCCAACACTGCAATGAAACATGAACACTGATGTTTTCATTTTTAAAAAAACACATACATTAACACCCTTTGTTTTAAAAGAAAAACAATAACACGCATGTCACAGGTTTGCCACTTCTGAACTAAAGGAACCAGATTACTTGGGCAGGTGGAGACCATAGTGGGTAAACTCAGTGTGATACTGTCTACTATCTGAAATGCTCAGGACCTCGTTTGCCACTGAGTGGGGAGTACCAGAAGTTACTGTGGCCTTGGCAGGCAAATCCAGTTCAAGGTAGGTCAGAAAACTGCATCATTGGTTAAACACTCAGTCTAGTCCAATTCTATTGCTACTTAGGACCTTAACTAAGCTGAAGTATGCAGTTGCTGAAGGAATTTTATGACTCTCCTTAAAGAAACTTTGAAGACGGGTCGAAATGCAGTGTTGTGCATTTACAATGCATTAGTTCATGACAGATTTACTGTAAATCCATTAACCTGTATTTTATAATAGGATCATACAAGCAGCTTGCTGGTACAGACATTTCACAGCCTGCAAGAACAATAAATATGAAGCTCCATATTCATATTTGTGGAATTTTTTTATTACAAATGACAAAAAAACAAGCAAAACTAGCATTATTTTAAAGAAGAAAGATAATGCATTAAAAGACATGAAGTACCTCACAGAATCTATGAGTGAGAAACAGCCACACCAAGGAAAGGGAATATTCTGAACCAGAAATTGGAAATCCATTCTCTGCAACTCAGCTCTTTATTTCTCTGCATTTCTGCTTGTTTCTCAGCATCTTTCGCACACAGAATCTCACTGGGGTTTCTCACTGGCCTGACTACAATCAGTCATTTCCCTGCTCCTAGAGTGATAAGCAAGGTCACATGTTTTCAGCAAGCCTGGCTGTCAGAGCCTGCTCTGGGAACCCCTGACAAAGAAAGCACAGGGATAGGCAGACAATTCCAGAAAGAGAAATGACGTACACATCTGAGATTTTCCATTTCCATGTCTATTTTATTTGGAGGCAACTTTGCAAAATCCTCCTGCAATAACTCATCTGCAATCCAAAGGGTTAATTTTAATGAAAAATATTAAGGTAGTCAAAAACAAAACAAAGCAAACAAACATGTGCATGTGTGGAAGCATACACACACACACACACACACACACACACACGCACACACATATTCCAAGAAAAGTCACAGTATTGGTGCATTTTTTGAATTGTTTTTAATGAGAAAAATTCTCCCTCATGCTAATATAGCATAATGAGAAAAAAAAAAGGACTTGAATTCGAAGGTCTGGTTTAAATCTCAGTGTTATCAGTTACTTGTCGTCATGTGACTATGCACAATTCACACTGGTTCTCAGATAAATGCAGCTCTTGGACTAGATTGTCCATTGGGTAGTCCAATAATCTTCAGCTATAATATATTTATATTTAGTACAGGTAATTGCTTAAGAATTTATTCAGAGGTTAATGAAGATATACAAAAATATGGTTAAGAGACAGGGTATCACATAGGACTGAGTTTGATCCTGCCAATATTTTGCAGTTTGATTTCATACACGTTAATAAACTTCCTAAACTCCAGTTTGCCCCATTGCAAACAAAGACACTTCTCATTTAATAACTAAGTTCTACTTCTGCGATTAGTTTGTTAAACCAACTGGTCACTAAATGAGGAATTGTATACAGTACATACATTAAAATATTCAGAACAAAGAAATGGTCAAAGGAAAGTCCAATTTAATGACTTTGCTTTTATTTGTATAACCCTTATATGCAGCGCTGTAATGTGTAACAGAACATAAAGTTATAGTGCAATACCATGCAGTATAATCAATGAAAATTGCAGTATTATATAAACAGGGTATACTGTATGAAAGAAGAGAAGAAATTGAGATTCTGTCAGCAAGATGTACAGAGTTGTCAAAAAAATAGGTTGCAAGTCTAAAGAGTTGTTAAGCAGGTGGGTTGTTAAATGAAGAATATCTGTATTAGACATCATATTATCAAAATAGTTCAATGAAAATGATTTGTTTTTTCTTAAGAATACATACTGTCCAATAACCTTTAAACTAAAATACAGCAGCCACTAGCAAACCATCACGTCAGCTAGGTTCAGGCAATATTGGTCCCTCACATGTCAGAAAAGGTGAGGGTGAATTTTATTCAGAAAATCCAGGATACTTTACAGTGTAGCAATGATATAGAAAGCTCTCATCAATAGCCATGCTTGCAAAATGGATGTAATCCAGATATGATCTTTAGCAAATCAATAAAGCATTTATTCTATATTTCCTCACATGACCTTTCCTGACAGCTTCCACAAATGGTTCAAGACCACACTGATCACATATTGCTATTGCTGGAAGCCAAGTCTTAAATGTGCAATTTTGGCTTATTAACAAAAGGAGCTTCTGCAGGTCATTGCAGAGCGCCAATGAAACTAAAATCCTCCTGGCAAGATACACAGAACCACGAACCTGCTTGACTCTGTGAATATCATTGGAAATATCAAATATCCTTGACAGTGAAATGGGCATTAACGGAGCCCCTGTTCTGTCTGCTTCTGCACTAAATACTTTGGAGAATAGAAATACATGTAAAGTATGCCACAAAGAGCATAGCCAAAGGTGTGAGACAAAAAGTAAGCACTTAAAACAAAGACAGAGCCAAGAATAAGAGTGATAACGAATTGTTCAATTTTGTCCTGTGGTTTGGAAGTATATATATAGAACACTTGAGAAAATGTGCACCCATATGATCTGAGATGTTTCTACATATGGAAAAGTTTCAAAGGTAACATCATTTCTAAGGAGCTTGTTTATATCTGAGAATTTATACAACTGCAAATGAATCCATTTTATTATCATTTGAGGAACTGTTGGAAGCAAATAGTCCTCAAAAATGAGCACAATAAAAAGAGTGCACTGATAAATTTTTCTCGCACAATTATGGTACAGTTGTTCTGCCTGTATCACATGTGATCAACAGGACTCATTATGACCATGCTCCAAATCATTCCCTTCTACATAAAAACCAGCAAACCACATATTTTTTTAGTTATTGAGGCAAAGAAAGCAATCTCACATAAGGTATCTTATTTTTCCTCGGTATCAGACATTATAGAAATAACACATATTTTAAAGACATTTGTCTTTTCATGAGTGTTGAGGTTTTTTGCACAGCATGCTTACTGGATGTACCTTAAATACAGTAAGTTATAGGCATTCCTCTTTTAAGGATGAAGTTCCATTCCTGCAGCTAGATTGTTAAGTGAATTGGTATCTAAGTGAAGAATTGTATGGTATGTACATTATAATACTCTGAACAAAAAAATGGTCAAAGGAAATTCAGCTCGATAACTTCACTTTTATTTTTATAACTCTTACATCCACTGCTGTAATGTATAACCTAACATAAAACAATCAGGAAAAATTACAGTATTGTATAAACAAGGTGTACTATGCAAAAAAAAGACATTGAGACTCCATTAACAAGATATATGAAACTGTACAAAAACAAAAAGATGAGTGGTGGGTCATAAGTCCAAACAGTCATTAAACAGTAGATCATTAAAAGAGGAATGTCTTTACTGCACAGTTCATTGTATTCATTGAATAAGAAAATGTTTTAAAACACGTGGTTTACTGAGTGCTCAGTTCTTACCATTGCAATAAGACTATCAATATTATTGTATCACTTTGTATCCATGTGCAAGTAAGTGAAAATTAAACTTTAATACTCTTAATGAGCACCTGCAGCTAGACTAATGAAAAGAAAATGAAATTAGAGTTTAGGAGATTCTAAAGAGATATGATACACCAATAACACTTCTGTGTCATTGATAAACTCACTGTGCCCTTGAATAATTTGTAATTATCTTTGTCACATGTGTCTTTCCCATGGCCGCTGGTCAGGTGTGAAAGCATAGAGCTGGACAATAAAATCCGGGATCTGATTGAAAGAAATGCTTCTAATCCAAAAGGAGTCACGATAGAGGCCACACCAAGTCATAGATTTTCATGTTCTCCAAAGGTAAGAAAACTCTTCTTACTTCATCTCAGTGCATCTTCAATGGTTTGTTCAACAAGAAGAATTTTTGGGGACAGTCCCCAGATCATTTACAGTCAGTCATGTACTTCCTTGATGGCTGACAGGATAAAGTGAACCAGTATAAAGCTTTCTTACGCAGTCACTTCCTGTTGCTAAAGAAATACTTCAGCAGAAGGCACCTTCCAGATCAAAGTGTGCGGATGGGGGTGGCTATAGGAAAGCGAAAAAGAAATCTTGCTTTAAAACAGATAATTCATACAATGATGACTCTTTGTGGAGGGAACAGCCTAAATTACTAAAGTCAGCACAATTCATGCCACGGTCATTGCAACTAATCTAATGTGAATAAATTTGGGAGCACAGCTAGTATAAAAAATTAAATCATTCCTCAACTTTAAAATAACTTTCTTATTTCTAAAGTAGTTCATGCTTATTGTAGAATATTTATATGGATTAAAACAGAAGACTATAAAATCACATAGACATTTACTGTGGTGTTAATGGGAGGTTGGGATCTTAAATAAATATTTACTCTTGTAAGAAACTTGCAACTGTAAAAGTGTATATTTTTTCTCTTAAAGAAAGTCTCAGACTTGTTTAAGTCTCAGGGCTTATTAAACATAGATCTGCTTCTGAAATCAGCAATAGATACACCATATCTAGAAAGCCTCTCAGCATTGGAATCTCTCTCCCTCTCTCCCTCCCCCGACTCATTTTCTTAGGTTACCATTTCTCTTAATAAGATGTTGTAGATACACTCTGAATCGTTCATTCATGTAGCAAATACACTATTTCCTGCATGCTGCATTGAGGCATTTTTTCCTCTTTAAATCTTACTTCTTTCTGGAAATACTGACTTTATTTTCAAAAATACCAATGAATGTTAACTATTGGCTTGGCAGGGATCTATAAAGGTTCTCTCTCCCCCTCCTTTCTTGTCTTTATACCTCATTTCCAAGCCCTCATATATAAACCTCTAATACTCATATACAACATAATTCCCTCATGGAAATGTGTGCACTTCTGCTGTTACGTTTTATCTAACCCCAGAAAGAAATTGCATTGTTTTTTGGTTTTGGTACCGGGGATTGAATTCAGGACCTTGCGCTTTCGAGGCAGGTGGTTGCACCACTGAGCTAAATCCGCGGCCTTTATTGTACCACTTTAATCCTCTCCAGGACCATTTTCTTCAAGATTTGTGGTTACCATCTTGGCCTCCTTTCTTCCTTCACCTCGTGTCCTTTGGATCCTTCCTTACATGATAACAACTTTTTTTTGAACCCACATCAATATTTTTGTGGTAACAACCGCTGTCAACCGAGGACTTCATGGACATTTCTGTCGTTCTTCTCCCATCGATTCATTGATAAACTTCTTCATTCTCCTACACCCCATACTTCCAGACAAAGACAGCAGGTTCTTAGCTGATGCTTTCTGTTTTCCTTGTGAAATACGAGGCAAAGACATACACTGAGAGATCTAAAATTTAAAGAAATGTGGGGAAATATGAAATGGCCATTAGGAAACAGGGAATCTGAAGGGTTGAGCAAAACTGAAATGAATAGTTGGATAGTAGGGAGGACCCAACTGAGTGAAAACCACAACTTCATGAGAAGACCTATCACTAAACAGCACTGAATTTTCAAAATCTTTATTACCGTGTATCAGCTTAACATACACAGAGGTGCCTTAGGTCAAAAACTTAATTCATTCCATGATTCTGGAGGAAGATGGCTGCATTTGCGTTCCTGTGAGGAAGATGGGTGAATATTTGTCACCCAATGCAGAGTTGGAGAATAAAAGAAAAATTTTGCTGAATAGTTCTGTTTGCAAACCAAATTACTTACAAAGAGAAGCATTCATGAACTGAGGTCTTGCAGTACTTAACCCTCCTCCACTTGAAATCTATGAGATCCCATGTACATATGAATAATGTTCGAACTCATTCTTATGCAGCATATTGATCTCTTCATCCCGTACTTTCTCTTCCCCCATCACACCTCTAATAACTTCTAAATTGATAAATCCAGCGGTGCCTTTGGATTTTATCTTTCGCCCTCTCATTTGCATTTGGCACTACTCACTAATTCAACTGCCTTAAAATATTTATTCCATTAACATTAATTCCTAAATCTCCTTCGCTTATTTTGTGGCATTTTTTTCTCTCACCTTCACTGGCTTCCTGCACATCTCACCCCATTCTATTAGTATTACTCAGGGATCTGGTTATAGTCCTTAACTTATTCATTCGGTATTTTTAAAGGGAATTCCCTATCTTTCCCCACATCTATGTTTGTTTAGCTCTCCACGCCAACACACTCATGTGGCAGTTAACTTGGGTGTGATCCTGGATTCCTAAAGGGCACCATGGTCTACATTCTCCAAGTACTAGCATTCCTAGAATCATGCCATCTTTCCTTTACTCTGAGCATCTTACCAATTCCACTTTTTTAAGATCTTGTGACTTTTGCCCTTTTCATTTGTTCTACCTCTATAGATCTTGCTCACGCACAAGTGCTTGAGCCATAAAAGGAGGTTTCTTTCACCTATGTCATACATTCAAATACCTTTGCATGACGTATAAATTCTTCATGATCTAGCCTCTGCCTATAGTTATCATAAACTCCTAGGAGGATCTAATATTTGCTGAGCTTCTACTATAAGAGGTATTTATAGTTTGTTTGATATCTATAGCAACATTTTAATAACACTTCTGTCTCATTTTCAAGATAAAAAAATAAAAGTTCAGAGAAATTCTAAATGTTGCTTACAATTTACAAAGTCGTAAAGTGCTGATCTCAAGATATAAAATGACATATGTGCATTTTTTTGCAGTACTGTGAGATCTTCTATACATCCTTTCACTTCTCTAAAGGTACTTGTTCTAAACAGCCCATAATCCTTTTGCAGACCATGACGTTGCAGGTGTTATGCCTTTCATTTACTAACTACTCTTGATTAAAACCATGCCTCCTTGCTCATTGGCTGAACTTTTATGCCTACTTAAACCTTTCATGGTACCTTTCACCACTTTCTCTCATCCAACACAGCATTATATAAGTTTCTCTCTGATTCATTTTAAATCCCTACCTTCCTTATATGTCACTCAAAGGCTCAGTTTCTTCAGCTTTGTAATCATTTACGCATGTACTTATTTTCTCTACCAATCATGGGTTTCTTGAGGGTGGAATATAAATTATATGAAGGTAGAGTTTTTTTCTAGAAGATAATGGTAACAATTTCTTTGGCCTCTTGAATCACAGTAAAACTAGATTTACAATTTATCCCCAGAATCCCTCTATAAATGATTCTCAGAGTCTGCAGGGGAAATTGAATGTACATTCCACTTGTAAATCCATCTCTTAGTTCTTGTATGGAAGCTCCCATTTGGTTTCTTTTATTCTGGTCTCCTAAAGTGTCCTGCTGATGGTTTTCAGATGTTCACTTGTCACTGCTGCTTCTGGATGTCTGCTATACCACTCTCAGGAGCCTTGTTGGGTACCCTTTGTCATGTCAACTGTGCCAAGTAGGGCATGTCCTTTGAGTCCCCAAGGGCAACTAACAGTACTGCTCCCACCATTGACGTGGAGAAACATTTTTCCCCAACTTTAGCTATACGGGTTTCTAAAGTAATTGAGTACTTCTAATTTTTGCCAGAAATATATGTCACAGTACTTTTAGTTTCTCCCTTTTTGGGTTTTAATTACTGACTATTGAATGCTTACTCTGAGCCACCCCTTCGCAAAGCAATTCTCTATATTAGGTCATTTAATTCTTAGCTCTCCACAGATAGAGTTCAGTGAGGCTAAATTGTTTTCTCATATTTTATAGCTAATAGCTTTTAGATTCTGGACCTAAAGTTAAATCTGTCCAGATAATTAGAACCACTGACTTCTACTTCCTCCCTTTAGTTTCCCCTCCCTTGCATAAAAGTCACTGGGGTCTTGGCCAAATTTCCTAGCTCTCAGGAGGAATGCTGTCATCTGAGTAGTCCCTCCCCTCTGAGCCTAGCACCATCCATGGATCAAAGCACTGTGGCTTTGCTCTCTGCCCAGCTACTCCCCCAGAACAGCCCCAGGAAGTCTCCATTCTTCATCCCACTCCATCCCTGGTGTATCTTTCTCACGTGTCCTCAGAAGATATCTTCAAATATTGGATTCATGAAGTATACACAGCTTAGTTCACAGCAGAATTTGCTGAATTATCACTTACCCAATAGCACTCTGAAGAAGGAAATACAACACTGATAATTCTTGCTAAGATACTGGTGGAACTGGGTAAAAAGTTGATAAAATTTTTGTTTTGGTAAGATGATAGTGATCTGATGACCAAGGAACTGCAAAGAGTATCTCTGATTTTCCCATTGAATGAAATCAGCATAAGAATGGTAAGGTAGGCTTTCTTTCCAGTAGCCAGATATTAACACTTTATGACTTTCTGTGAGGGGAAGGGTGAAGCTTAGTAAAAAATAATTTAGTGAAAGGGCCTGAGACATACATCAAGTTCCCTTTTTACCAACTACTATTGCCAAGAATAAGTAAAGAGGGAAAAATGCTAGAAGAGAAATGAACAGACTGACTCACTGCTCTGTGAAAATGGAAAAGCATTAAATGAACAGGAGGAACTCCATCAGCATGAAAACATGCGTTAATATCATAGGAAACTTGAAGTATAAAGTTAGTGAACAAAAGTCATTTAAAAGTCTTGTAGACAAAGGAAAATAATTGTCAAATAAGACTGATACTGTCTAAAAATGTACATTGGATGAAAGTTATATTAAACTAAGGTATATCCTACTGCTATGGAAATGTTAATATGTGAGCCAGCAACAGAAAGTCTTCAAATACAGAAGAAATGGATAGGTGGATTCAATATGCTTCTTGGATAAAGAAATCCAAGGTTGAAACCTGGGCATGGGAAGGCAAATAACTCAAATTTCAAGAGACTACAATAGAAATAAATTTGCTTAAGAACTCTGTCCT